TTGTATGACTTTTTCTTTTGTTTTCATTTATTACCCTTTTTTAAATTTCTTTTTTATATTCAGTACAGGGTCTCACTATACAGTGGGAATCGTAGTGATCCTCCTGTTTTCAGCCTCTTATTTTCTGGGATTGCAGGCGATTTAATCCGCTGAGCTACCTGGCCAGTCCTACCATTGTTTTAAGGGTTTGGTAAATTGAATTTAAATGCATTTTTAAAATTAGTAACTTGAGGACTGGTGAGCTAGCTCCGCAAACTAAGCACCTGCTTAGGCAAGTACAGGAACTGGGGTTTGATCCCTGGCACTGCATACCTTGCTGCCCCCAGGTTCACTGAGTCAGGTACACCTGTAGTCCCAGCACTGGGGAAACAGAAAATAAGAGGAGCACTACGAGGAGTCTGAGCTGTGTAGTGAGACCCTGTACCAAATACATAAGCTAAAAATTAAAAGAATAAAGGGGACAGCTTTATAAGACATACTGTTGTAGTCCTCAAGTGTTTATTAACGTCCTTATTTTTATGGTAGGCTTTCTGTTAGATAAAAAAATTGGAGTGAATCAACCAAAGCGAATTGAAAATGCCAAAATTCTTATTGCAAATACTGGGATGGATACAGACAAGATAAAGGTATGTAACTACAATTCTTGGAATTTGAATTGCTGGTTTCTATAAACTCAGGAAATCAGTTCTGCTGAAAATACATGTGTAAACGTGTATGTGCACACAGAACTTCTTGATAAAAATGTGAAAATATTCTGTGGCACTCTTGAAAAAGGAGTTACAAAAATGACGCTATGCTTATTTTCTTTGTTTTAGATATTTGGTTCCCGGGTAAGAGTGGATTCTACAGCAAAGGTTGCAGAGATAGAACATGCAGAAAAGGAAAAAATGAAGGAGAAAGTTGAACGTATTCTTAAGCATGGAATAAATTGTTTTATTAACAGGTCTGTGTGCTTATGCTAAAAGTTTTATAAACTAAGAGTTGATCAAAGCTTCTTGAAGTACTTTATAGTGAATTCCATTCCAGTCAGTGATTTGTTCACAAATTGCTAAACGCTTTTACTTAAAATGAGAGATTTGGGGCCGGGGAGACGGCTCAGTGGAATAAATGCTTCCCTGGCAAGCACAAGAGCCTGGGTTCAATCTCCGGTTCTGCCAAAAATAAAATAAAATAAAACGATAGGTTTTTATATACTCACTTT